GGTTTAAATTGATTTTTCAGCTTGTGAAAAATGATTTGGTATTATCCTTATGTACATCTGGTAACTAGAGGTTAAACCTCTTGATTAGAATCACAGGTATGAATAGTGTCAAGTCATGAAGTGTGTCTTCATGAGATCAAACCCTCATTTTTCCTATAATTCTTGCTGTTTTGCAAAGTATGCATCTGAGAGCATTTGTAGATATTGATGGAAGAAACTGAAGGAGTTGAGAAAATAAATAGAAGGGGACCTACATTGATATCTGGGTCCCAATAGTGATGGCCATTCTTAGATCCTCTAATAAAAATATGGAGCCACAGAAAGGGTGGGTCTGTCTGCAACTGTGGGAGCTCTGTGAATGCCTATGGGTTAACCATATTTATCTTTTGACTTTCATCTGTACTGTCTCAGAATTGTTTGAAAAACTATTTATAAAGTTGATGTTCAAATACATTTCTTTTCTGGGTAGGCCTCACAGCTGGATACTTTTTGCCTGAATTACCATCTGATCTGAAATAAGCATTAACTTCTTGTTCTCTGCATATGAATTTTGGGAGTTAAAACTTGAGCTCTTTCTGAATATGTAGGAAAAAGATTTTTGTAAGGATATCCTCAAGTGTATGGTTGTTATGGTTTTTTATTCATCTCCTATGACAGCACATATCTCATCATCATCAACACCACCACCACCACCACCACCACCACCACTGTTAGATATTGACAGACCATTATTTTGTTTATTTATTTATATGTAGTGCTGAGAATCAAACCCAGTGCCTCACACATGCTAGGCAAGTGCTCTACATTGAGCCACAACTCCAGCCCCAACTACTTCCTTTTCTTTAGTACCCAACAAAAAGTATTTATTAAGCACTGTGTAGGGTTATATTACTCTTACCAGATTGATAAAATAATAAAGAATAATAAACACATTTTTTTCTCTAGACCCAAAAGGTTTAATGATTTAAGTAATTATTTCTTTTTTTTTAGTTGTAGTTGGACTAAATAATTAATAATGCCTTCATTTTATTTATTTATTTTTATGTGGTGCTGAGGATCCAACCCAGCACCTCACACGTGCTAGGTGAGCGCTCTACTGCTGAGCCACAGCCTCAGCCCCTATTTAAATCTTTAAAGTAATTTTAAAGGATCATACATGTGCTTTTTCAAAATCTCTGATGTTCTTTAGTTTCCTATGCTACTCCCCAATGTTTTATTTGTAAGATTTTTTTTACTTATAAGATTTTAGTATTTTTTACTTAGAAAAACTAGGGCTGGATTTTTTGTTTGTTTGTTTTGGGGTGTGTGTGTGTGTGTGTGTGCATTCCAAACTTATCAAAAGGTATACATTAATTATGTCCAGGTTTTTTTCTATTAATTATACCTCAATGAAGCTGGGAAAATATTAGCAACCTCTCCCTATGCAAAAAAACCCTCAAAACATCTGTATCCTGTTTTCCCCAGGCTCTAACCTCACCATGAAACAAATAAACAAACAACAACAAAACCCACTGTTTTTTATTTATAAGGGTGTAAGAAGATGGAACAGCCTCAGGGTGTGTCTGGACTTTTATGAAAAAAAATTTTTTTCTCTAGTTCTTCCTCTGAAATCTATCCTAAAATTTCTTTGAACCTCTGAGCTTATTTCTCCGTATATTCATGCCTAGTACAATGCTATGTGTTCTTTGTTCAGTTTTAGCTTACTTTATGGAGATCAAAGTTGTTAGGATAATGGGCAAAAGATAGAAGCAGAGAAGTTCAGCCTCCCTTAGTTTTGATATTCCTGTGGTCTCTGTCTTTAGGTCAGTGTAAGTTCCTGCCAAGGTATCATTTTGCTAAGCCTCATGTTCAGAGTGATCAGTCTGAGTTTGCTGTTGGGACATCTTGGGAATACAGATGTCTCCCTGGGTATACCAAGAAGTCATTCTTTATCACCTGCTTAGACACCTCCAAGTGGTCAGATGCTCAGCAGTTCTGTAAACGTGAGTAATCCTGTCATGGAGGAATCTTTGGGTCTATCATCACTTCTGTATGGAATAGCCTGTTATTTTCCAGATAAAAGACCAGTAAATTAGTATGTCATGCAGTGAAGAGTACTCCTAGAATCTCCATGTTTCCTTTTTTCCTTAGGGGTATTGATTATGGGGGTTAAGTCACCACCGCAGGCGAAGCCTATTAATCCTATTTTCTCCATAACTAGGTTCTATGATCTCTATACTGTATTAGAGTGACGTTAAAAGTTACTATGCAAGGAATGTTAGTTTCACCCTTCTTAGCACATTCAATTCGAGAAATTGAATAATTAATAGATATGAAGAACTACACTAGACAATGGGGTTTGGAAGAGACAAAAAAATTAATTCAGTAGTTTCTGCTTTAAGGAATTCCTACACTAGTTGTAAAGACTGATTCTTAAACATATGTTGTACTGTATCATTTATTTATAGAGGTAAAGTACTATATTATAGAGAAATAAATAGTAACTGATATCTGCAGGAAATAGAGAAATCCAGGACTTTTGGACTAAGGATGTTATATCATATGCAGAAGCATAGTCGAGCGTGGTGGTGCATGACTGTAATCTCAGTGGCTTGGGAGGCTGAGGCAGGAGAATCTCAAGTTCAAAGCCAACCTCAGCAACTTATTGAGGCCCTAAGCAACTTAGCAAGACCTTGTCTCAAATAAAAAATAAAAAGGGCTAGGGATGTAGCTCACTGATTGACTGTGTTACCACAGAAGCATAGAGATATGGAAGAACATAGATTTAGAAGGAAAAAAAAAATCAGCGAGAGTGGAGAATAGGGTCCCCGGTAAAGAATAGTAGTTGGTTAAGTAGATTGGTGTTTAACTATGAAAGATCATGCATTTTTTTTCTATAAAATGTTAAGCCATTGCAAGTTTTTAAATGTGTGGGGTGGCCTGGCCATAATTATACTTTAGAGAATTATGCAGTGATATGATGATATATGAGACCAAGGGAGACCAGAGTTAGAAACTCAATAATACAATGAGAGACTTCAACAGGATCAAAATAGTCGATTTGGAGAGAAATTTCTGCAACCCAGAAGCCAAAATTTATTGACTAATTGAACGAAGATCAAGGAGTAAAGGGTGAATTACAGAAAGGAAATGATGACCCTGAGGGTTTCTTAATCTAGAATAGGCAGATGATGCCATCAACTGGTGCATTTTGATGCCATTCGAAAGGGGAATTGAAGATTATAAGTTATAATTGACCACAAAGTTTGCATCCATGCTCATAAATAGAGATCATCTATGTTAAACAAATAGTGCTCCAGAATGGACTGATCCTTGGAGAATTAACACATTTTGCCAATGTCTATTTTTTTAAGTTGTAGTTGGACACAATACCTTTATTTTATTTATTTACTTTTATGTGGTGCTGAGGATTGAACCCAGTGCCTTGCACCTGCTAGGTGAGAGCTCTACCGCTGAGCCACAACCCCAGCCCTTTGTCAATGTCAATTTTTTAAAATAAATATAAGTAGGCTCATCAGCAGATTCAGTCAGGTTGGGATTTAATATAGAATGCAACATGTCTTCTGAATCCCAACCCCAAGACCTGTTTTTTTAAATTTTGTTTTCCCTTGTAGGTAAATCATGTATGAGTCCTAGAGAACTCCTCCATGGCTCTGTGCTTATCCCTGAGGGTATCGAGTTTGGGTCAACAATCACATATTCTTGTAATAAAGGGTGAGTTGGCAGGATACATGGATACTAGTAGTTCAACCAGAATCCATCAGTCTTCCAAAATAGACCAGAGTCATTGTGACCTCCCCTTTAAAGTTCATAAGCAAAAAGGAGTCATCTTGACCTGCTCCAGAGACAGGTCTTCAGGATCACCCAATAGAGGATCCCTAGACAGAAAGAGATTGGGGCTACACTTCTTTTAACCTTAAATCTCCAATGCTATAGACTTGAAGGTCCAATTGAATCTGGTTTTAGATTCTTGAATTTTTTATAAATCCTTAGTGTACTGCCACTCCCTGCCATACATGATATTCTTTTTTTTCTTTTTTTTTTTTTACATTCTTTCAGTAAAGGAAGAATTAGTTTTCTAAAATATAATGGTAGCTGGGAGATGATCACTCATCTCTTGTCTTTAGATATCGACTCATTGGTGGCTCATCTGCTACATGTATTGTCTTGGACAATACTGTAATCTGGGATCAGGACATGCCTTTTTGTGAATGTGAGTACAACAATCTCTTTATGGCATCCTATATAATTTCTCAATCCTCTTTTAGGGGGAAACTGTGCAGCTCCACATCAAAATGAGTACTCAGGAGGGTTACGCTTGGTTTAGGTAGTTCTGAGCACAGAGTGTGATCTATCCTCCTCTGTGGTTCTTACTCCCAACACACTTTCCTTTGATTACTATCTTTTGGTAATGTTATTTTATAGTGAATGATTTCTTAGATATAAAATATATCATAAGATTATACATTGACCAACTTTATTCCATGCAAGAGTAGGTCATCCTGAGTGCCTTCTGTAACAGTTTATCTGTACTCTGAAGTAGAAACTAGGGACAAACTCATAGCTTTTTGAGTTTTCATCAACCTGTTCCGTGTATCTTCCTGCCTGGATACTTCCTATTTAGAATCATCTTTAAGATCAGGACACAGAATTGCAACAACAGAGATAAATGGTAGGCTGAGTTGAAGTTTGGTTTATAAGAATGAAAACAAAATTCTTAGGAAGTATAACATCTAAATGCCTTCTTTCTTTTCTGACCTACCTCCTTAAAAGCTATTCCTTGTGAGTCACCCCCAACCATCTCCAATGGGGACTTCTATAGGACCAGTGAAGATACTTTTTACTATGGCATCGTGGTAACTTATCATTGCAATGTTGGACCACGTGGGGAAAAGCTGTTTGACCTCGTGGGTGAGAAGTCAATATATTGCACCAGTCAAGACAATCAAGTTGGTGTCTGGAGCAGCCCACCCCCTCAATGTATTCCTCAAGTCAAATGCCCATTTCCAGAAATTGAAAATGGAATTGTGGAATCCGGATTTAAGCGTTCATTTTTCTTAAATGATACAGTGATGTTTAAGTGTAAACCTGGCTTTACCATGAAAGGCAACAACATGGTGTGGTGCCAACCAAACAGCAAGTGGAATCCTCCACTGCCAACATGCTTGAGGGGTAAGTTGGGATGAAATTCTGGGTATCTGGAAATAAAATTAGTGCCTTGGCAGGATAGATACATGGGACGTACAGGAAGAGTAGGAAAAGCAAACCATATGTTACTGGGATTCTTTTAAAAAATTTGGAAGTAATATCTAAATGTTGAAGGGGTAGAAAATTTTATTATTATATTCTGGGAAATTACTAGATCTGCATTAATATAGGGAATATTATAAGAAACTTTTTTAAAAAACTCTCAGAATGAATTAAAGACTTAAAATGCAAGACATGAAACTACTGGAAGAAAACATAAATGAAATGCTTCAAGACATTGGAATTGGTGAGGATTTTTTGAGTAAGATCCCCAAAGCACCTGACACTAAAAATCTGTACATCAAAAAAATGACCAACAAAGTGAAGAGGCAACATACAGAATGGAAGAAAATATTTGTAAACTACATATCTGGCAAGGGGTTAATAACCAGACTACACAAGGAACTCAAACAACTCAAAAGCAAAATTTTTAAATAATTAAATTTAAAAATGGACCATAGACATAGTCATTTCGGGAAAAGAAGACATATGAATATGAATAGCGAATATATGAAAAAATTCTTAACATTACTAATGATCAGAAAAAATGCAATATGACATCATCTTATTCCAGTTAGAATGGCCATTATCAAAAAGAAAAAATGTAGCATGTGCTGATGAAGATATAGATAAAAGGGAATGCTTACATAGGGTGATATAAATGTAAAATTTGTACAGTCATTATGGAAAACAGTAATGGAGTTTCCTCAAAATATTAAAAATAGAAATACTATATGAAGCCAGCAATCTCACTCCTGGGTCTGTATATATTTAAAGGAAATGAAATCAGTGTGTTGAAGAGACCCTGCACTTCCATATTTACTGAAGCATTATTCATAATAACCATGAAGTGGAAACAATCTAAGTATCTATCAGCTGAAGATGCATAAAGAAAATGTAGTGCACAAACACAATGGAAGGCTATTCAGGAATAAAATGAGAAGAAAACCTATCATTTATGGAAACCTGGATGGAACTGGAGATCATTATGTTAAGTGAAATAATCCAAGGCACAGAGAGGCAAATACCACATGATGTTATTCATGCATGGAATCTAAAAAAGTTGATCTCATAAAAGTTGATTATAGGATAGTGGCTACCAGAGCCTAGGATGAATGGGGGGCGGGGGAAGCTGAGGGGACATTGACCAATAAATACTAAGTGATAAGAGAAATAAATTCTAGTGTTCTGTTGCACAGTAGGATGATTCTATGTAATAATGATATACAGTACATTTTTTAAAAAAGATAAAAGAAACAATCTTGAAAAAATTCACCACAAAAAATGAAAAATATTTTAGAATATTGCTATATTTACCATGACTTGAATATTACACAACATATTCATGTACCTGAACATCACATGGTATCTCATATATTGGTACAATGTTATTCCAATTAAAAATAAAATAATAACAAAATAAATAAACTGGGTGCAGTGGTACATACCTATAATCCCAACGGCTTGGGAGGCTGAGGCACAAAGATTGCGAGTTCAAAGCCAGCCTCAGCAACGTAGCAAGGCCCTAAGTAACTCAGTGAGACCCCATTTCTAAATAAAATATAAAATAAGGCTGGGAATGTGTCTCAGAGGTGGAATTTGAGTGCTCCTGAGTTCAATCCCTGTACCCGCCCCCCAAAAATATATTATATGTGTAAATATATTATATAGAGAGAGTCACAAAGTCAATAGAGATTATATCTATCTCTCTACCTATCTATCTATATATATTTATATTTCTTTAAATGAGGATAAAATGAGCTCTCAATCCTATTGGCCATGTCAATTGGGGAAATTAGGTGAGATCAGAATTTGATTCAAAATATCATGGACATTATACATTTTCATATTGAAAAATGTAACCTTTATGAAAGAAGGCTAATGGTCTGATTGAGTCTGTTCTCCCATTCTTCCCTTTTCCCCTACTCTTATTGCAAAAGATCTAACTTTCTAAAAACATGGCAGCATTGGGAATTCCTTTCACAAAGTTCAGAAAGCTCATCAGTCTTGTTTTGGGAGCAGAAAAGAGACAGATTTGGTATTGAAAAATGTGTTCCTGAAGTATGGTTCCCTTGGTTCCACTATTAGAGAAAGAGTATCTTGGATGCTGTAGTAGAATGAAATGAAAAACAATGAGTGAGTGTGATGTTTCCTGCCAAGGATCAAGATAGAAAAAACAGGTGGCTGCCTAGGTCTTCATGTCCAAAAAGAGCAGTAGAGTCAGCCCTCTTCTCCTCTCTCAAAGTGGGTGTCTGCCTTCCCAGGAGAGTTGATAGAGAATCTCCATCCCACTCCTACCATCCACAGTCTTGCTATAAGTTGTAAAGAAGAAGGTTCTTATTTCAGAAATAAAAGACCGTCTGGTCTTGTTCTTTTCTCAGGGTGTCTACCACCTCCACATGTCCACCATGGTAATTATAACAAAAGGGATAAGGAGCTCTTTACAGTTGGACAGGAAGTGTCCTACAGCTGTGACCCTGGCTACACTCTCATTGGATCTAACCTTGTGCAGTGTACATCCTTGGGAACCTGGAGCCATGCAGCCCCCACATGTGAAGGTGCCTAAAGCTCTGCTGCAGCTAAAGGAAACTGAGCCGTTTCCTGACTGCACGTACCAGCCGTGTCTCTTTTTCCCTAGTGAAATCATGTGATGCCATTCCAAACCAACTTCTCAATGGCCGCGTGGTTCCTCCTCCTAACCTCCAGCTTGGGGCAGAGGTTTCCTTTGTTTGTGATGCAGGGTGAGTGCGAGGTGACAGGGCCTGAACTGACACCTATCCAGAGCTGAGAAGTGCAACATGTGAGCTCTAAAAATGGTTCATTTTTTTTT